ACATGGGCATCACGGTACAGCTGAAGCCTGTAAAATGCAGCATGAGAAGAGTCACAAACCAGTACAAGGTTGGAATGCTTCTGCCTACACCTTGGCTTGATGAGTATCAAGTGTTGGGAAAGCCTTGGAAGAGGCTTCCTCCTTGGGCTACCTTGACCAAGTTGCCTGCTGAAGGGCAGGGGGCAATTGCTTGGGCCATGCCTCTGCTGTGTTGTCAGGCTGAGTACCCAAGGCTGTCGGTTGGCTGTCATGTCTGCTGCCCTTCCAGTTTGCTTAGGTGGATATTTGTGTGCATTCCCTCAAGAAGGAGAGGCCCAGAGGCCTGCTTAAAACCAGAGGGCAGCAGAATGAGACATGTAGAATGAAGCACTCACAGGAGGCTCCAAGGCCTGAAAGCCAGGCTTCCCTGAATGTTAAAGATGGCAGGGGCTCTGAGACTGATGTGTGTTTGTGTATGCCTTAAACAAGCCAGGGAATAACCTCAAAATATGGCACCCTAGGGACTCAAGAGATGGGTCAGAGTGCTTGCTCTACAAGCATGAGAACCGGAGTTCTCATGAATCCTAAGCACGAGTGTAAAGTCAGACATGACTGTTGGTACCTGTAACCCCGCACTGGGGAAGGAAACACAGGCAGATCTTACAGGCTTGCTCACCATCGGGCCTAACCAAACTGGTAAGGCCTGAACTAAGGCAACAAGACCAAGAGCAATGGAGGAATACTTTCAGTGTCTGCCTGCTCCAGCCTCTTCATGAGCATGCCTGTGTGCAACCAGTGCATGTACGCATGTACACATAGACAGACAGACAGACAGACAGACAGACAGACAGACAGACAGACACACACACACACACACACACACACACACACACACACACAGAGCACTGTTGGATATTGATTAGAGGCTCTTAGCTGACAGCAGACACTGGGAGAGGCTTTGTTCCGTTATTCCTTTATCTGATGAAAGCCCAGACTTGTCAAGGATGTCCCTTCCCAAGGAGTCAGTAAGTTCATACTCTAGAAAGGGAGGCTGAGGAACATCACATTTTGTCAGAAGCTACATTCTTCTTAAACATTATTGCCCCTGGACTTGTCTGCGTCTTCCCTCTCCCCCATGCCCTTCGCAGACCGGCAGAGAGGTCTACGCCTAGCTAGGTCACCTACTGAGCCAGCTCTCTTCTGAGAGTCCCTGTCCATGAATGCAGTGTCCTTTCTCCTTGAAGTATGCTTTCAGTTCATTCCAACGAACCTTCAGGGGTCAGTGGGAAGCTCTCCTCTGGCCCTTCCAGGGTCAGTTCCTTCATTTTGGAAGAAGTGAAAGGGGACGGTCACTCTAACACAGCTCTCTGTGAAGACGTGGTTTGCTTCAGTAGGTCACAGCAGACCTCCATTTTTGAGGGCTCCTGAGTTTACACTATCACCCCCAAATGAAGGGTGTCAGGCCCTCCCATGGGCTTACCCAGTGGGCAAAGCTTACAGACTATTCCCAGAGAACAGAGGCCACAGCTCTGCTGTTACAAGGGCCTTTATCAGGATGAAGGAGCCTTCTTCCAAGGCCATGGCAGTTCTTGAGATTTAAAACTCTATAGGAAAATTAAAAGCATCTATTTTTTACTCTGAGTCTCTCGAGCCACTCCTGAAAACCTTGCAGAGAACACAAGCATCCACCCTGACTGAGGCCCTCAAAGAGCTAGCCTCAAAATCGCACTTTTTTTTTTTTTTTTAATTTCCCCCTCGCTTCCTACCAGCTTCCACCCACTCGCCGTGTTCACTTGGTATGCCATGGGTTTTTCTCACTTGCTTGCTCATCTCCAGCTGCTGAAATCTGCAGCAGGGATCATGCAGACTTTTTTTCAAGCCATTCTCTAATGTCTTGCATAACCAACCCTCAGAAATTCAGGGAAGCCACGTGTTCTAAGAATGAGGAGGGATTCTTAGAAGAGAAGCCAAAGTAGTCACATGTGGACCCACAGAATGCGTCCTTCCAGGAAGCCGGGCGGAATAACCATCCTGGGTTGCCGTTTGCTCTCTTGGGGTTAACTATAACTATAGGTTTTGGCAGGAGAGTCCTAATTACCCCCACGCAAGTGACAGCCCCTCTGAGACTGAATTCCATCACAGGGTTTACATACACCAAGGCTGCCTTGCTCGGCAATTTTAAGACTTTCGATAACGTTCTTCCACGCTGTGATCTCAGGGTGCTCCATCCTGTTGTCAACTAAAGTACCAGAGATAAAAGCTGTAAGGACCAGGACACAGAGGCGCTTCTTTCTCAGCCTGTATCCTGACTGTGCTGCGCCACTGCCACCAAAGAACAGACCTCTCATCTCATCTCTTTCCCAGCAGACAAAAGGTCCCCCGAAGGCAGGGACCAGGACACAGACCTCACAGAGTACCAGAGCATCCGTTGGCCCTAACTACTGACAGTGAAAATGTTCACTTGGCCCACAGCTCCTGACAATACGCAGAGAAACATCATCCCTGCTCTTGGAGAGAGAAACTGAAAAGGAAATAAAAAGCCAACTGACAGGCTCTAAGATTTTTTTTTGAAGTTACACCTTTCATCTCAGATGAAAGAAAGGACTGTTTTCAGATAACTGACCAGCAAAGAACATGATGTGATTTGATCCCCAAATGCCCTTTTTTTTTAGCTAGTAAGAATTTTCTTGTGGCTGTGAAAAAGGCTCAGTGGGGAAGAGTGCTTGCTGCAGAAGCATGAGTCCCTGAGTTCAGATCCCCAGCATCTGTGTAAAAAGCTATGTGTGGTGGTCACATGCACCTGAAATCCCAGCACCAGGGGTTGTCAGACACTGGATTACTGAGACTTGCTGGCCACCAGTCTAACCAAAAAACATGGCACTCCAGACTCAATGAGTGACTCTGTCTCAAGGGAATAAGACAGAGTGTGGGAGGGTATCTGAGCACATATCTGAATATATGTTTACATATGAGTGTACATACATGCATACACCACATACACAAATAATCCCCTTTTTTGAAGGACTAGGGACATAGCTCAATGTGGCAGACTGTCTAATATGCAAGGCCCTGGGTTCAATCTTCATTCAGCACTCAAACAATCAAATAAGTAAATGTCTTACTTGGCAAACCGAGGCAAGAGGGCCACAAGTTGAAGATCAGTCTGGGCTATATAGCAAGACATTGCCTCAAAACAGAAAGAAAAAAAGAACAACAGCGTTGCTGTTGTTGAGGCAGGGTCTTGCTTGTAGCCCTGGCTGCCCTGTTTGCCAGGCTGGTCCCAAATTCACACAAATCCACCTGCCTCTGCCTCCTGAGTGCCACCATGTCTGGCTGAGGGCAGTTTTTATATGGGCATGAATGAATATGCCGGCTTCAATCAGGTACTTAGGACAAACGCAAAGGTGACAGACTGACTGCATGCTTGTCTAGAGTCACATTCCAGAAGATCCAACTGGACACGGATATAAAGTCACCTCACTAGAGCACAGGTCATCCATTCTCCAAAGTCCTAACGTCAGTCCTTTTTTGTCTGTTTCACTTGTGGCTCATCTAAAGCAACTTTTAAAATTACATTTCATTTATGTGTGTGTTTGGGGCAGGGGTGGTGTGGGTGTGGAGGTCAGAAAGACACTTTCAGGGGCCTGTCCTCTCCTATTACCATATGGGGCTCAGTGGTCAACTCAGGCCACCAGGATGGGCAGTAAAGTGCCTTCACTCACTGAGCAGTCTTGCTGACTGACCCACAGCTACAGATCTCATAAAAAGTAATGCTGAGAAGAACCTTAGAGATAATTAGTGCTTTATTAGTCAGCTTGGAGGCTACGTGACTTAGCCAAAGTCACCAGAATAGTAGGTTTGGCAGGGATGGGACTTCACCTGGGGGGTAGAGCAGCTGTAGCTGCCTGACATGCTTGAGGCTCTAGGGTCAATCTCCAGCAACAAGGAAAAACAAAACTGAAACAGAAATGACAAACAAAAGCCAGTCTTTAGTCTCTTTGGCACCAGGTTATGAGTTGTGGTGGCAGCTTCCAAGGTGTGGCTTAAGCATGAGGCTCACAGATAATCCTGGATGCCTGGATGCTTCCTCACATGGGAACCATGTGGTGGGGTGGGTAAATCAAGGAATGGGGTCTCCCATGTGTACCTCACAGGGTCCACTTTCTGCTTTCTCTTACTTTTCCAGATGCCACTTCTGGAGAAGGATGGTCTCTATTTCAGAAGGGCCTTCTTGAGCCATTTTTACCCATTTTTTAATTTGTTTCAGTGGCCTTACAAGCGTATTTTAAAGTCACGAAGACTACTGTGTGGGTCAGAGATAATGCTAAAAGACTTCACACTGCCAACCCTGCGATCTTTTCATGAGAGTAAGCTTGCTACACTCCCGGCATCTAACCTGCAGGAAGCAGTTGTTGGCTGGACTGGGCAGCAGGAAGATGTCTCACTGTAGGGAGCACAGAGGGAGGTGGACATACTTGCTGAGGGCCCCTCTGTTGTAGAAAGAGCTTCAGATTATGTGGCTTCACTTCATTCCAGTACACAGCGTAGACATTGTCATTTGGAAGCTCTCTGTAGTATGTCAGACAGAGGAGGCCACCGGACAGCCCCCTCACTTTCCACCTCCAAGTATGGCAGGCTACTCAGGCTATCCGTGCACAGCACCCAAGTCTGAACAGTCTCCAATATTCAGCATCCAATTTCATATCCCAAATAACATAAAGACAATGTTTGAAACTTCAAGCAACCCACAATTATTCTAAATTTCTTTAGGCTTTTTTTTTTTTTTTTTTTTTTTTTTTTTTTTTTTTTTGGGGGGGGGGGGGGGGGGGGGGGGGGGGGGGGGGCACCGACCCCCCCCCTCTTGTTTTTTTTTTTTTTTTTTTTTTTTTTTTTTTTTTTTTAGGAGTGGCTGGAGGGCAGAGGTGCTGGGGTGGAGCCCAGAGCCTCACACACACTAGGCGGTCACTCTACCAATGGCTACATGCCCAGGCCTTAGAATTCTCAAGCAGTTACAATGCAAACAGTTTTCAAGTAAGTGACTTTTATTTTTTTTTTCCTCTGACATTTCACAGTCAATTTCTAAATAACTTCACACTTTCTTAAAAGGATTCACATTTGGTAAATAGTCTCTACCCTAAAGAGGTTGTGGCTGAAAGGCCACTTCAGTTTATGTGCAAGAGTAACTTGTGTGCTGAGAAATCATACCAGAGAAGTCAGACGATGCTATAGTCAGTAGTAAACTACAAACGATGGTAATTCTATAACCAATTCAACCAGGAACCTTTCTGTCCCTTTGTTCCAATATTGCCAATACAACCCGACAAAGGATCTCCTGTGGGTTAGCCTGAGCTAAAACTGACTTCTCAGCTTGGGAAACAACAGCCCTGCACAATGCTTCATAAGGACTTACAGCATGCACCACTGAGGCCATTGCTACTTACATTACAGCGTTGGGTGACCAATGAAGATCTTTCCGCTCCACTCCAGGCTTCCTCCGATGCTGCTCTAGCCTCTGACCTCAAAGTATCGCTCCTTCTAAGATCTAGCTTCTCTACTGGAATCCATCTGCTTCCAGCTCCTCCAGGAACACAGCACTGCACTAACAGCCTAGACACTTGCAGCTACGGCTCTGAGATCACAGAGGAGCAGTGACTGGGGGTGCTAACCCTGCCTGCCACTCAGCAGTGAAGATCTATGGTGGCTTTCATCATCTTTTATGGGGACAGGAAGGGAAATGAAAGCCCAAATCCAGAAGAAAGAGTCCAAGAGGCTCATAGCTCTCCACTGAGGGTTTTTCCAGTGGGGTACATTTGGTTCTCAGCAAGTGCTTCCAGCCTTCCAACGCTTGGTAAAACTCATGGCTGGTGCCCAGGCTGCTCTGAATGCACCTGTCTCTACAGCTTTCCTGCCAAACATTCTGCCAAAAAGGAAGCTTCCTAGTGGAGTGAGAGTGAATTGACTACGATACCATACAGATTTAGGGGGAGTGTATCCCAAGGAGCTGAGTCTGCCCAGAGACACTGGCTCTGCTTTTGGAAACTCTTTCAGAAAGCAAACAGCAGGTAAGAATTCTGTGTTGATCAGAGTAGATCACCAAGTTAATTATTTTTCAACCAATCATATCCAAATCATGTCTTTATAAACACAGTAGAGTCAACCTGAGTCTTACAATTTTTAAACTATGTTAGAATTACAACTCCTAGTAGATGTGACCCTTTGCTCTGGACCTAGTAAAGACCCACGAGGGCTCTCTCTGCAGAAAGATGATGCTGGTCACAGAACCAGGTTAATTTGTAAAAACAAAGATTTTCATGAGGATGAAAATTTGAACAAGTGGATACAACCCTTTGAATCTTTACTGTTTAGACATTTAGTTCCCAGCACAGGGAAGCTGAAAAGAATGTCATCTGGAACCTCCTCACATTCTTCGTCCTAAGGCCAGCCTCAGAGAGGAACCACACTTCAGCTCTGCTGCCACATCTAACACCAAACACAAGACTTCCACAGTGGCTCCCCATCACCACAGGGATGGGTGAGACTCAGATGTGAATGGAGAAGGGTCTTTTGTGCCTTGTTCTAACCTCAGGGTTTCACTTAATTCAAAATGTATGAGCACAGTCATTCTTCCGTCACAGAAACAGCAGGTGAGGCCCAGCAGAGGGAAGCTTACATCAGACTCTGAGGATCCACTGAAGCCATCTCGGGCTTTTGATTATGTTAATGATGATGGTGGCTTGTTTTTTAACTTTATATTCATTTACTTATCTAGTGTGTCTGTGCATGTGTGGTGGACAAACTGCAGTAGTTGGTTCTCTCCTGCTGTGTAGGTTCAGGGGATCAAATTCAGGCCATCTGGCTTGGCAGCAAGTACCCCTACTCACTGAGGCACCTTGCAATCCTGACTCAAGTGTTTTAGATGTAAGATAGGTTGTGTGCTATTTCGAGCATGAAGTAACAAAACTTTCCAGCTAGTGACAAAAATGCTGGCTTCTTTGACCCTTTAATCAAAAAAACAACTCATACAACTCCAGATGATACTAAATCAGTCTGTTTTTAAAAATCTGAAGGATGTGCCTACTTGTGAGATCTGGTGTGATCGGTGTGAGTCAGATGGCTCTGCCCTTTCTCCCTTGACTTTCAAGTGTAAGAAACAAAGCCTCATGTGATTAAATGCTTGCACCCAGGCACAACCTGTGCCCAAAGCATTTTAGGTTTCACCCAACTGGCACGATGCCTGGTAGAATACAAACACATCGGCTTATTTTTCTCTGTGACTAAGATACCTGAGGAGGCCCAAGAAGGGATCCTTAGGTCACCTACTCCTTGGTTTGACAAATGTCATACTGTACACTCATCCATGTCACTGCACCTTGGATCATGGATAGTGAGTGGGAAGTTGGAAGAGACCCACACAGTCATCTCTCCTTTGTCCCAAGATCCAGCTAAGTGCCCACAGGCTAAGAAAAAGGGACTCACAGATACTCCCAAGTGGAGGTCCTCAGAGGAACATAAACACACTTAACCTGTGCATGAACCACAGATTAGGACATCAGCAAGGGACTGGCACGTGGCTTCGTGAGTTTAGAAAGAAAAGCTCTTAACTAGGCTGTGGAAAACAGGTGTAGGTAGTAATAGCAAAAGAGTTAAAAGAACCACTCAAATAACTGAAAAACGCCTCTGTGCTATATGTCTGGGTGATCAGACAATGCATCTAGGTCACTGCCTGAATGACTGGACCCAGATGTCAGTGATGCCTGCAACTTGGCCCACGCCTGAGGAGCCCTGCTCTTGGTGGCCTCTATAAACATCTGGGTTTGCTCCTTCAGCTGGTCTAGTTCCACCTGAGTTGCTTGGTTCTGACGAATCAACTCCTTGGTCTTCAAAGTGATTTCAAGCAAACCAGACTTGTGGAGGACCACTAAGGTATTCTGGAAGCGCCTGTGCTTGCTCTGCCTCTGCTCGGAAAAGATGTCTGAGCTGCGGCAGAGGTCTGCAGCCCACAGCGGTGAACTGTAACTGGCTGACAGTGGCGACAGAGGGGAGCTGCTTTCTAAGCCATGCAGAGTGCTGTCTGATGCACACACAGGACTGGCAGGCGATGCAAAAGTCAGGCTGGGCGCCTTAGCCACATGACTGCTAGACACAGGCTGAAGAGTCTGTGGACTCCCACCAGCCCCCAGGGAGGGCACTCCTTGCAGAGCAGAGTCCTCAGTGAGTTTGGAGCTGGGTGGGGCTGGGGTAGAAGGACTGGACAGCACAGGGCCAGTCTTGGCTGGCTCACTGGAAGACAGGACTGGCCCCAGTCTCTCGGTACAGACTTTCTTCGGTATTCCACTTGATCCTCTTTCTTCTGAGCCAAGGGAAAGGCTCCTTTTGCCTGGGTGGGGGGCTATTTTGGTGTAAGAATTTAGAATGGGCAAGTAGTTTCTGGAATCTGACTTTTTTTCACCAGTGTGGCATGGGCTGACAGGGGATGGCACAGGTGGATGAAGAACAAAGAGCTGTGGCTGTGCTGAGATCACCTCAAAGGAGGGCTGGACAGTCCATGACTGGAGCTGGGATGAGCTGCTGCCCTGCAAACAAAGGAGAAGAGCAGCTGTGTTCAGGATGGAAGAATGAAGCTCCCAGCTTCCACCCATGGCAAAGAAGGTGGGTGCTCAGCCACAGCTGCTTTGGGTACGCAGGGGAGCCCTTGTTGAGAACAGGGAGGAAGTGACCTGAAATCCACTTACATCTGAGATCATACTAAAAACAAGAGAAAACTAAAGGCAAACACAAAAAAAAAAATGTTTTCCTAGGGGAAAACTTGAGGAAATATCTGGGGGTCTTATTTTTGTTTTAAATTCTGTCTCTGTGTGTGCCAATGTATATATAGGTAGGTGCACATGAGTACAGGTGCCCATGGTGCCAAACAGTGTCAGATCCCCTGGAGGTGGGGTTACAGGTGGTTGTGAGTCATCTGACGTGGGGCACTGGGACCAAACCTGGGTCCTTGGGAAGAACAAGTGCTCCCAACCACTGAGCTACCACTCCAGCCCTGAAATATCTGTTTTTATTTAAGGGCTATCATTCCAAAAAAGAAATTGGAGGTAGACAATAATGGCACAGTCAAGGTACAATGGAGACAACAAAAACCAAGAAAGTATAATATCCTGGCCAAAGTTAAAAGATGCTAAGCTCAGGCTGGGGTTTGACTTTGCTGCTGGAGTGCTTGCCTAGTATGCTTGGAGTCCTCTATTGGACCCAGCACCACATAAGCCCTGGCATGGTGGCATATACTCATCATCTTGGCATTCAGGAAGTAGAAGCAGGAGTGTCAAGAGCTCAAACTCATCCTCAGCTACATGAGGATTTCAAGATCAGACTGGGCTACTAGATACCCTGTCTCAAAACAAAGAAACCCCAAAACCAAATGAAATCCAGAAGAGGCTAGCTTGTCACTGAGTGTCCTGGCTCCTGACCAGCCTAGCAACTTGCCATCTGTCCTGTGCCCCCGTGTCACTCTTGCATGTCCCGGTGCAGCCACCCCAGTCTGCAACACACGTGGCTTGTCAACACAGCCACAAGGAGCAACAAGAAAGGTAAAAGAGAACCAGAGAGGGAAACAGCCCAGGGTAAAGACACCCAAAGGCACCGGGCAGCACTGGCAGGTGACCTCACTTGGGCCCACTCCCTCTCTATGCTCTTTCCTTTCAGTGAGGAAAGCTGAAGTTCCTGCTGAGATGGGATCTACCAAGCAAAATATTCAAATGATTGTTCAGAACTTACCAGCTGCCTTCCTTGCTGACCTCAGTATGTATTCTTCAGAAGTGACCAGGCAGTGTTCAGATACTAAGGTAGTATCTGCTGTAGCCATGTTCTTATAACCTCTGGCTAAGATGGGAAGGTCAACACTAAAACCATATTCTCAATATACTTGTTAATGCAAGAACTGTATCTATTTTCATAGTAAATTACTCTAAGTTTAATTGTTGTTTGACTTAAATCACTTTTCCATTCCTCAGACTTCTCTATTCTAACTTAAGTTTTTGTGAATGAATTCTCATTCTCAAACCCTAAAACCTAACTAATATTTTCATCCACTAATATTTCATATCTAGGAAATAACTACTCAGTCCAAACTACACAGAGCTTTACAGTCAACAGTGAGGACCCTGTTGGCCCTGCCATTCTTAGCCCACAGAGCTGCCCTGTCACCAAGGTGTGGCTCTAGCTTAGAAACGGCCTCTGCTACCGAAGCAAAGGTGTCCTTCCTGCTATGTCTGTTTGTTTGAACTGTCTTTGGCACAGTGTCTCTTTATGTATCCCAGGCTGCCCTCCAATTTGGAATCCTCCTGCCTCTATGTCTCCAGGAGTGAGACTACAGGAGTATACTACCATGCAGGCTTACAAACATGTTTTATACTCCTAAATTCCCAAATTAATTCAATGTAAAAAGAGGATCCCAGGGCTGTGACGTAGTACAATGGTGTATGTTTGCCTAACATACACAGTGCCCAGAACTGAAAAAACTAGAAAACAAACAAAGAAACAAAAACCTTTGCCAGGCGGTGGTGGCGCACGCTTTTAGTCCCAGCACTCGGGAGGTAGAGGCAGGCGGATCTCTGTGAGTTCGAGACCAGCCTGGACTACAAGAGCTAGTTCCTGGATAGCCTCCAAAACCACAGAGAAACCCTGTCTCAAAAAAAAAAAAAACAAAAACAAAAAAACAAAAACAAAAAAAAACAAAACAAAGAAAAAAAGCCTTTTATTTCTTCCCTAAACCCTGCCTCATGTTAGAATGTACCACTTAAGTGACTTTTTGGCTTGGTTCCATTATGCATTACTACAGCAGGTCAAAGGTCCATTTAAAACTAGAAATACAAAGATAAAATAGTTAGAACGTAAGTCCTGACTTGTGTACTTTTGTTTTTTGTTTTTAGGCATTTCTCTCTTTCTCTCGATCTCTGTGTATGTGTGTGTGTACATGTGAGCTCAGGTGTCCTCAGATCAGAGGAAAGCAGGGTAGAGTATTTGCACAACACACATACAAACACACAATTTATAAAGTAAATCTTAAAGAAAGAAATTTAAATCAGAAAGCAAAGAAACAAACAAGAGCAAACAGCATCAGTAGTTGAGGCGACACCATCTCCTGGGAGGCAGGTCCACATCAGCGCGGCTCCGGTGCTTCTGAAATCCCTGCCTGCACAGCGGGAGTGTCTGCACAAGAAGTGCAGAAACCTTCATCTGCAGTCTTTGGGCCCCACTGGTCCTCCTCACCTGCTTGACCAGCACGTTCTTCATGACCACCATAGGGGACAGCGCAGGGAAGGCAGTGCTTGCGGCTCTGGAGCTCGGCCTCAGCCTGTCCTCCCTACTCCAGCCCAAAGCACTCAGCAAGTCCTCTGACTCCATCTGCTCTGCGGAGCTCAAGCATTCTGAGCTCCCATCTGCTGGGCAGAAAAAAACGGTCAGTTCATATGCGCTCTAGGCTAACGGCTCATAACCCAGCCACTAAAACAGAAAGGACTCCCTGAAACAGAAAGGAACATCTTTGATAAGTGTTTCTGTGAGTTCTCTTAGGCAGAAATTTCACTGGATGTTCAACAACCATCCCTCCTGCTCCAAAAGCCTAACCGCTCTGCTTGGCTTTCTTCAAACCCTTAAAAAACCCCAAGTCAGTCAGGGTTCCTATGAAAGCACTCATCCCCAGATCACATGAGAAATGAGTTGAAGACTCCAAAGTGAGATGATTGCTTTTGGTCTACTATTTTAACAACTTTTTTTGTTACATTTTACATGTGTGGAGGTGGGGGAACGTGCATGCCACATTGCATATGTGAGAGTCAGTTCTCTGCCACTAGGCTGTCAGCCTTAGTGACAAGTGACTTTACCTAGAGAGCCACTTCATCAGTACTAGGTAATTAATTTTCAAATCTGTTGTTGACAAGGCAGAATTAAGATCTTTCGAGGCTCTGGAAACCGCACGATATGCTTAATGTATAAAAAGCAAAGCCAATTAAAATTTATACCCATGTTAAAATGAAAAGCTTTGTCCTGAGTTTTCTGATTGAATGGTTAGTGCTAGCTATTGGGAGAAGCTACACTTGCCTAGGAGACAAACTTCCAGGCATAGCTGTGAAGGATTATCTAGATCAAGCTCTCAGAATGTCAGTGAGGGATTATCTCAATTAGTTAATTGATGTGGAAAGACTCAGCTGCAGGCAGGACCACTCCCTGAGCAGGCTCCTTGTATATAAAGAGGCCGTGAGCTGAGCACTAGCACTCCTTATTCTCTGCTTCCTGACTGTGGGCGCAGGTAAGAAACTGCCTCAAGTTCCCATGACTTTCCTGCCATGATCAACTAGAACTCAACTGTGAGCTGAAATAAACCCTTTCCCCATAAGTTCCTTTTGTCTGATTACTTATTTTATCACAGTGACAGGAAAAGAAACAGTAAGGCACTTGTCAAAGCTGAAGCTAAAGTGTTTCTCTGTTGCCCCCACCACCCTGTTAAGCACCACTTACTTTGCTGATGTCCTGAACACATGAGAGTTTACTGGGAATCCTGCACCATAGGGGATAAAAGAGTGCTGCCGTGGTTTGCAACCCAAGTGTCTCCCACAGGCCCATGTTTTGAACACTTGATCCCCAGCTTGTGGCTCTATTTTGAAGGCCATGTAGGTGGCTGAGAGCAGGCCTAGGCAGGTTATACTGAAGGGACCAGCTCCCCATTTCGGCAGCCATAACAGCCGAACACGCTTTACAGACAAGCACACAGCAATGATGCACAGAGCATAGCAATCACCCTGGGAGGGCCTATGAGCCATAACAACCAGTTGACCAATCAACACAGGGCAAGCCCTCCAAGCCTGGATCCACACCAATCCTGAGCCTGTGCATACCCCTAGACACTCCCATTACGCTGCCCTATAAGATCTCTATGCAGACGCTTCGAGCTGTCTTTCCTAGCCATCCGCCATGGTGGATGGATGGAAGGCCCGAGCTAACATGGGGTTAGCTCATTAAACAACTATAATAAAGCCTCGTGCAGTTTGCATCAAGCTTTCGAATCCGCCTGGTGATTGGGGTGACCGAGGTCCTGGGCTGAGATCCTGGAGGCCTGAGCTCCCGGGGGTCTTACAATACCAGGCTCTGACTCGCTTGAGCCTGCTTTCTCTCCTCCTGGTCCATTGCTGCACACTTCTACCTCCACACACAAAACAGCTCTGCTGTACCTTCCGCCTCTAAGGATTGAGACTGTCGTGAGCAACACGAAACTTTCTGTTAGATATTTTGGTTATGGTAATGGGAAATAAAACAGATGTTCTCCCTATGTTAATTCCACATAAAACGAATGCAGCCAGATACCTGCCAGAAGAAACCAAGAGACAGTTGTACCTTGCTACAGAGGTGTCTGGGATTATTCTAAATGCTCACCAATGTGCAGCTCAGTTGACAGAGAGCTTTCTGAGCATGTAACAGCCTTAGGTTCCATCTCCACATCACATAAGCTAGGTCTTGTGGTGCATACCTCCACTCAAACTCAAGAGATAGAGGCAGGGAGATGAGAAATTGGAGGTCATCTCTGGCTACATAGTGAGTTTGAAGCCAGGGATACATGAGCACTACCTCAAGAAAGAGAGATCAGAAAAAACAGGTGTGGCGGCACACACCTACAATTCCATCACTCAGGAAGCTGAGACAGAAGGATCACAAATTCAAGGTAATTTAAATAATTGTACCTTGTATTTGTGCAGCTTGGCAAAGACAATGTGATCAGAAAGGTATTTTCAACAGGTATAATTCAGAATGTCTAGTGACACTTCTCAAAAGACATGGCTGGTGGAGTCCTCCCCTTGATCGAACAGTTAATCCAAATGAATACTGCTGACACACTACCAGACCAGAACCACCAGTATAGAAACAAGTGTAACTCCTGATCTTGGAGCAGAAATGCACTCTACACATAAAGAAACCAGTATGCTTGGAGAAAAAGCTAGTCTTTGGCTAAAAAGGCACAAGATGAACCTAGACAGTTTGTTGTCCCAAAAAAATGAAAGAGGTGCTCAAACACAGAGGGAGAAGGTGTCAACTGAGACAATGGCAAATTTAAGTCACTGGCCAAATTTGAGACAATGTAGGTAACAGAAATATGAGGTTAATGAACCAACAAACTGAATTACTACAGAATTCTACAAATCCAGAGTGATACTTAAAAAGGACTAGAGGAAGAACAATGCTTCCTCACAAAGAGGTTCAGTTGATGGCAAAAGGACAGCATTAATAAATCACAACTTCTAAATCACTACTGTGGTAACCAGTTCAAGGAAAGCTTGTCAGTGGATGCTAAAACACCAGTCAAGTTTGCTGGAAGGCAGGTCGAGTGGTTCCTGCCTAAAATCCCAGCACTCGGAGGCTGAGTTGCCCATACTTGCCCAAAACTCACTCTAACCTAGGCAAGTCTTGACCTTGTAAGCCACCTGGCTCAGCCTCCCTAGAACCTAGAATTCTAGATATGTGCCACCAGGCCCAACTAAAAAACTTTCTTTACAATAAAGAAATCTGGTGTGAAGTACCTTTTAACCAGAGGATCAGAGTATTACCAAAACTGAGACTGGGACTGGAGAAAATGGCTCAAAGTTAAGAGCACTCACAGAGGACCCAGGTTCAGTTCCTAGTCCCTAAATCAGGTGACTCACAACCTCCTGTAAGTCCAGTTCCAGGGGATCTGATGCCCTCTGCTGGCCCCCACAGGCACCTGTATGCAAGTAGTGCGCAAACTCATGAAGAGACACACACATACAAATAAGTAGACAAATATCTAAAAAAACAACACTTTTCTTGTGTTTTGGGAAATATACAACATCAACAATGCAGTGTTCTAATGATTCAAAAAATGGGGAAGCTATCAGAAAATCCAGAATGTGGGACATTCTATAAAACTGCAGTCCTGTCTTGTTCAAAGATATCAATGTCATAAAGGAAAGAAAAAAATGGGAAAGCTATTCTGGATTCAACAAGACTAAAAAGCAGGCTATCTACATACAATGCACACTTCTGAATGGATCTTGGATCCAAAACAACAAGACAATGGCAAACCGCTGTAAGAACATTGCTGGGTCACTAGGAAAAATCCAAATAGACTGCAGTTAGAGAGAACTCAATTGCAGATGACTTTCTTGGGTATAATAGTGGCATTATAATTATACAGAGGAATGTCCTTGTTTCTGAGATTCACACTAAAGATTTAAAGATGAAATGCTAATTGTTTAAAATTTACTTTTCAAACAAGACAGTTAAGCCCAAGTATGTAGGGAAGGATATAAATAAAGCATAAACGAAAATTTGTAGTGGATCTAAAAGAAAGTATCTTTCTTGTGGGGGACTCATTCATTTTTCTTTAGGTTTGAAATTTCTCAAAATAAATTTGGGGAAATAATTAAAATAGAAAATACCATCCATCTTGATTTTGCAAATTTTACTGAAGTGCTTCTCAGCCAGCCTTTTGGCTAAGATCAAGTATGAATTTCATCATATCCAAGGTAACTGGAATAATTCAGGTGGAGACCACATCCCTGGAACCTGCCCCCAGAGTGACCCGTGTTCACTGGAACCACCTTCTGAAAGAGGGATGAGGGTGGTCATTTTTAATACCATTTGTGTCCCAACATTGCAGTGTGTATTAAAACAACTGGCCTGACGAAGTTAAAGACTTTAGGAGGAGGAGCTAAAACCCAATGGTCCTGGGAATTATATATGGAAGGATTATGGGTAAAGCTATTTTCTTCTTTGACTTTCCCCAAGTGTCTAAACTTTTACTATGTGGATGCATTACCTTATGGTCTAGAAACAGATCAAAAGCAAATGTGATACTGAAAGAGAAGAAAGCCTTTCAGTGTTCTCCAGACCTTCGACCTTGTTTTACAGGCCCCACTTTCCAGGCCTTTCCCCAGCCTCAGTACCAGAATCTCTAGGAGGGTCTAGGAATCTAAATCTTTAATAGATGTTTCAGATGAACCTCATGTTGAGACAAGCCTAGAAGTGACTACATTCCAAGAAGGGAACCCAAAGTGCTTCAGGCTGGCTCCCCCTTCCCTGGACGGTCCTGGCCCTGGGCAGGACATTAATTCCTCTGTTCTAATCCCTGGGTCAGTGCTGTCACCCTCTGAGTAAGTCTATTTATAATTGAACGTCTCATTCAGCATGCCTCTGAGACAAAAAAAATGTACCAACCTAAGAAGGGGAGAGTCCTAGATTTCCTAACAGCAGCAGTATAAGTTAGTAATATGGGTGAATTGTCTCTGGAGCCTAGGAAATACCTATATTTCTTTCTTTCCCTAGAAAAAGCTCCATTCTCAGGATATAGTAAGCCCGAATCCCCTGGCATCATCCTGGGAATCTCCTGGGACAATAAAATGTTGACACTGATTCAATATTTAGAGCAGTTCAAGCCACTACTCTCAGCCGTAGAAATGTAGAAATGAGAGTCTCAGCAGGAAATTACGAGGCTGAGTTGGGGGTGCAGCCAGCCCTTCTAGGGAAGGTTCTGAATGACTATCAATAAAAGTTGCTTTACTATTATTTTTTAATAGTTTATTTTTATTTTATAGGCATTGGTGTTTTTTTAACTTTCATGTACGTCTGTGTGAGGGTGTCGGGTCCCTTAAAACTGGAGTTACAAGTTACAGACAGTTGTGGGCCTCCATGTGAGCGCTGGGAACTGAACCACAGTCCATTGGAAGGCAGTCAGTGCTCTTAACCACTGAGCCATCTTTCTAGCCCTTTTTGATTTTTTTAAAGATTGTCTTTTTGAGCCCACATGTCATGGTGCATGCCTTTAATCCCAGCAAGTAATAATGATGGTGACAATGACCATGATGATGATGATAAAGAAGAGACTGGTTTGGGGGGGTGGAGGCTGTTTGTTTGGTTTTTATTTTTTTTAGATGGGGACTCATCATGTAGCCCTGACTGTCTTGGAATTCACTATGTAGACCATACTGGCTTCAAACTCACAGAGATCCCCCTGCCTCTGCCTCTGCCTCCCAAGTCCTGGGATTAAAGGCATGTTATACTATACACGCTCAAAGATTTGTTTATCTTCTTTTATGTGTATGTGCCTATTTGTCTATACACGCATCACATACATGCAAGTGCTCTCAGAGGCTACAAGTGTCAGATCCCCTGGAACTATATTATAAGTGGCTGTGCATCACCTGATGTGGGTGTTGACACTGTACTAATGTCCTCTGCAGAAGCAGCCAGTGCTCTTAACTATTGAGCCATCTCTCCAGGCTCTGTTCTACTTTCTTATAGTTCACAGTTGGGCCAGGTGTCTCACAGTTCAAACACAAAGAGTTCAGTTATTATGAAAAGCTGTTTGAAGGAAACATTTTTAAGTATAGGAAGTGTTATCTTAACAAGTGATAGTCACTCACCACATAAAGATGGTTCAGCCAAAGACAGGCCACATTTGAGATGATGACTGTACCATGTAGCCTAAGTATATAACAGGCTGTATCATCTAGGTCTATGAAAGTACACCCTAGTGTTCACACAAGGATAAGCATCCCATAAAGATCAGCTTCTCATTACATAATACATGACTGCATTACTTTTAACTGACTTTCACGCTGCTACATGGCAACAAGGTACGGTAGTATTTTATTTTTCCTTTTTCCTGCCATGAAAAGGAGTTAATGTAACAGAATTCTGAGTATTTTTAAAAACACTTGTCTTTGAGACAGGATCTCATGTAATCCAGACTGGCCTTGAACTCAAATGTAGCTAAGGATGACCCTGAACTTTTGATCCTCCTGTTTCTACCTTCCAGTGCTGAGACTGCAGGCATGTGCCAGCTTGCCCAGTTTTATAAAGTGCTGGGGATCCAAATAGGGCTTCCTACATACTAGGCAAGCATTCCACAACTGAACTATATTTCCAGTCCATGTCTAAATATTTTTTTTCTAGTAACTGCAGTTTGAAATATAGGATCAAAAGTTTAAAGCCTAAAATGAAAGAAAAGGACATCAAATTACTTTTTCAGGACTAACCCCATAGTGCCTTGATTCTGGTATCTGCCATAAGATACCAGAATTACCACCATCACCCCATTGTTTTCAGAATTGCTATTTTTAAAGCCAAGATAGTTATTTATCCGATTCACGAAGGCTTCTTGTCTTTTTTACACTAATGAGTTTCAGGCAGGAATGTTTTCATGCAAATCATTCGGAAAAGGTAGGAGAATAAGATACTGTTAACCTGAAAAACCAGAGTCCTTGTCTGAGTCAGGAGCCACCACGCCGAGCGGTCGAGCTACTCTTTTCACCTCTGTGCCTCGGCCTGGCTTGGCAGAGAGTCTTCGAGGGCTCTCTCTGGATGGCATTTTCCTCTCCATGTTTCAGTGGGCTGGAATCTGGATCACAAATAGTCTTTGCGTATGGTTGCTCTATGAAAAACAACAATTACATAAGAAGTCATTACCTTGAGAGTGAACCAGGTGAGCCAAATGGTGAAGAAAACAAGGGCAAAGAATGCTAGCCTCACCCACTTCAGCTACACTGTTGTCTCAACTGACCAGGCTTCAAGTTTACTAAACAGAATGGTTTCCACCCAAAAGGAGACTCACCATCCCCTCACTACCCTCTAATTCCATTGCAAATTCAAGGCACACAAACCACATTCAGTGGAAGCTTTGTGAACTGCTAACAAAGGGACATTTGATTCGGCTTTTTGGAATGGGTAACCAAATAAACTTGCCCTCCTCCCTGAGGAGAGGAGAGGTAACAGCAACCAGCAAGGCATGCTTTCCCAGTACACATCTGCAGGATGGTGACCTAGTACCACCACTCACAGCATGTCGTTTCTCAAATGAACCTCTCAGTTCTTAGAATGAAGTACTGAGCAGAGCACAACCGAAGTCATACATACATACATGCATGCATACATATACACACATATGCTACTTCAAAAGACTGTTTTTACATTTATTTATTTTTGTGTATGTGTTATCTGTATACATTTACATGAACACACATGTGCCATTATGTATGTGTGGAGGTCAAGAGACACCTTGGAGGAGTTGGTTCTATCCTTCTATCTTGTGGGTCCTGGAGATCAAACCCAGGTTGTCAGGTGGCAAGCACCTTTACCTGCTAAACTATCTCACTAGTCCTGTATGCTACTTTTTAACATAAAACAATATTTAAAAAACAAAACCCACAAGGGGGCTGGAGAGAGTTCAGCAGTTAACAGCACTGGCTGTTCTTCCAGAGGAACGGGGTTCAATTCCCAGCACCCACGTGGCAGCTCATAACTGTCTGTAACTCCAATTCCAAGGGATCTAACACCAATGCACATAAAATAAAAGTTGAATAAATTATTTTAAAAAAAGAAACCCACAAAACTGTTTCTACAGCCTGAAGGTACAGCTCAGTGGTAGAATGCTTACTTAGTATACTTAAGGCCTAAGTTTGAGCACAACAAAAAAGCAAAAACTTTTTTGTATAAACATATTTAAAAAGTGCTTTTAAGAGGTGGGCTGAAAAGATGGCTCAATAGGAGCAGGTTTGATTCCCAGCACCAACATGGTGGCTCACAACAACTCTAGTCCTTGGGGATCCAATGCCCTGTGGGCACTAGGTACACAAGTGGTACACAGACAGAGAGACATACAAACAAAACACTCATATACATAAAATAAATTTTTTTCAATGTAAGTGCTTATATTGCATAAGGGTATGTAACATTCATTGCTGTTAATGTTATTCTTAAGTTTCACAAGACCCTCCTCCTCAGTTATAATCCCATTTTGCAATGAAGCTCAGATACATTACATTCAGTCACATGTATACATGAAAAAAACATGTAATAAGTGCCCATATAAATTAGGCATTGTGCTGGACTGAGGATACAGAGTGAATACAATAACCATGTTTGTATCCTCCCTGCAGCTTGTGATCTGGAGAGAGACAGGAACAGACATTAACCAAGTATTCATACACTTGATGGTTACATTGACAGGAGCTACGAACAAGTGGGGCTGATGGTCTGGAGCACCAGGAAAGAGCCATGTGGCTGGAGGAGTCAGCAGGCATTAGTGCCATCAAAGGTTATAGGTGAGCTGTCAGTGTGTTGCAGGCCAATGGGAAGGCTGAAAGGAGAAAGAACATGGTGTATGCAGGAGCAAATGGCCAAGATGCCAGAGCATAGTGCAGGAGCCCAACCACGCACTGACAATGGGAGTGGGGGAAGAGGAGGGAGAGTAGACACACAGGACAGACAGGCCTTGCAATCGCACACGCTGGAAAGACTGCAGATATTAACTAAAGAGCAGTGGGAGAGGTGGCACACTCCAGGAAGTCAGGAGGCAGAGTCAGGTGGATCTCTGGGAGTCTGAGGCCAACCTGGTCTATATAGTGAGCTTTAGGCCAGCCAGGGCTACCTAGCCAGATCCTGTCTTAAAACAACAAAAACGAGGGACACTTTGGGGATAAAGAAAACAGGGTGCCACCAAGGAAAACAGTAGTGATGAAACTGGGCAGGCATACGCAAAGCCCAGAGATGCTTTAACTCGAAATCCACTCAGGGTTCCTCGCACCTCAGGCAAGCATCGCTGTCCCTGAATTAACTGAAGTACCATACCTCAACATTTCTGCTAGTTCAGGACCTGATGAGCAACACTAGAGGGAAGCCTCTTGGTGAAATGAAACAGGAGACACATGCTTCCATGCATACTTGAGTAACCTCTTGCTCACATATGTACAGACCAATAGTTCTCAGCATGTGGGTCTTGACCCCTTTGGGGGTCAAATGACCCCTTCACAGGTTCATATATCAGATATTCTGCATATCAGATACTTACATTATAATTCATAACAGTAGCAAAATTACAGTTATGAAGTAGCAATGAAATAATTTTATGGATGGGGGGGTGACCACATGAGGAACTGCATTAAAGGGTCGAAGCATTAGGAAGGTTGAGACCACTGTTACAGACAACTGCAGGGGACTAAAGGGACACAAACTGGTTTGAATGGGAGTAAATGCTAAATGTGAATCCAAGTGAAAGTCATTTTGCCCCACATCTAACTCATTTAAGGTTTGTCAGCCTCATCCAGCTCATGTCATATCACTCTTCTACCAGTCACATGCTTACCCTCCACACACAATGATAAGCAATGGCACTGTCACACTTAACAGAGCACTATACAATGGCAATGTCTCTCTGTTTGACAGCTACGATGTTTGATAGCCTGGACTAAAATATAAAACGGTATCCCTAATTATAAAGCAGGATAGTTTTGTATGAAACCCAACAAATGTGAATAGTGTAATTTTCCCAAAGTAATACTGTTCAGAAGTGAACAGGGCTGTCTTTAAAATGGAACTTGATGTGGCTTCCAGATGCCACTCAGCTAAGGCAGGCCTGACCAAGCTGTTGATCCACATTAGAAGGGCAGGTCATGTCAGGTGCAGATGACTAAGAATCTGAGAATTCTAATATCTAACTAAACATACACTTTTACAGGCATTTAAGAGAAAGAATCCCAATTCAGTCTTCTGTGATCACCGTGACAAGACAGAAAAAAGTTACTAAAATGTGAGTCGTGTTACTAAAATGCAGTCAGTGGAGCTACAGAAAAACACAAAGGAATTTACTCTGGTTCACAGAGAATTGACAGGGTAATGCTGACTACAGAACCGAAATACTAAAGTTGTAATCTGTTAAATTCTAAAATTTTAGATCCTAGGGAATTGGTGGCAACTGGGAATAAAAACGACAAAACATACACAATTGACTTTAGAATGGCCAACTGTCTGTTTTGGATGCAAAAAGAATTAAAAATATGAAAGCGTCTCTTCTTGATAAAAAGTTCAGTTTAAGCAGGAAAAAAGCCTTAGTGTTCCAGCTGAGGCAGCCCACGTGGGAAGGAGTACAAGAGCTATACCCACCTCCCTTCTCTGAGAGGGAGTGGGCTCGCACACATAACACATGGGAGGAAACCCTGGATAGAAAAACAGAGGGGTGGCATTTCCCACCAGCACCCCTTAAGCACAGGACCACACAAATGGAAAAACCTAGAAACTCAAGAAATCAAGAGGGTTTTTTTCATCCCTCCTCAGCACTACTTTACGATAAAGTTAGATATTTACAAACATTTGAAAGTGGGTTACACAATCTTCACCTGTCACCTCATCTCTTTGCTTCCCAACAATGGTGGGAAGCCACTTTTTACACATCTCAGACCCCTGCATTTCACTTACTTACTCTGCAAGAGGACTGATGCTCCCAAGCAAGCAGAGCGACCCTAAATGGGCCTCATATGACTGTACATGTTGTCAATGTGGGCCGTATACAGTAAAATTCAAATTGGAAATTAGTCAACTGGTACCCGGTAACATTCTCAGAAGTACTCCATGGCTTACTTCCATTGCTCACTTCCTACATTAGAGCCATTCACGACTCTAGAACCTCACCGGTCACTGGCTCTGTTTTCATTTTGTTTCCATCTTTGCAACAGACTGGTGAGGTGTTCAAGAGAATACTAAATTCTAACAAATCTCAGGCTGGCAGTGTCTGAAAGCCAAGGCAGTTTAGCAATCACCAAAATACCTGAGTACGGTAGTTCCAAACACCTCAAGATCTAATTTTCAGGTCTAGTCCAATATATACCCTTATTCTAAGATGAAACCATAGGGACAAATATACCAACCAAATTAAAAGTTGGTATGACCCACTATCTCTGGGGAGTTTTGAGTTGGGGAGAAAAAGACGATCCAAAGGTTACAGGGAAACAATCTGAACTGCAGCTTTTAGCACTCTCCTTTTATAGCTACTTGGCAACATTCCTGAGAGCTCACGTTCCCTTTAAATGTGTCACATGTATGACATGCATGCACGGAGGTGTGAGGCGAAAGCCCGAGCAAAGGCTTATATAGAATAAAGTGATAAGGCCACAGAAAGTAAAGTCTTTATCAGCCATAAAACCACGAGTAACCCCAGTTACAAGTTTATTTGTAGGTTTTCTCCGAAATTATTATCTTTTGATCTGCATTTTCAGAAATACCATTCCAGGAGAATGTGTATTTTAATGGTGAAAAAACTGCACCTGCCTACTCTCTGACTTCACACTCCTGCCCATTCTCAAAACTGGCTGAAAAAGTCATGTCAAAGACTTCCACACAGTCACACGGTTTCCCATGGCTCTCTCCATCCTCATCATTTTGAGGGGGCCATGTGATCAGAGAACGTCCTCAGATCACTTTGAGAGGGGGGTTCACATTAACAGTGCCCACCTATCCATTCGCACCAGCCCACATGACATCTGTGCCAGGCAGCATGCACACCCTCCAGGCATCAACTAGCCTGCCAACTCAACAGGGCAGAATTGGGCAGACCACAGGACTATGCTGTGCCTGGCATACCACCAGTCTCCAGGGCAAATGCCCAGGCAATGCCTACTGCCAGGACTTGGGCAATAAAGAGAGCTTGGCTCCGGCCTGGGTCCTGGGTCCAGATCAAAACTGCCCTACCCACCCACTAACCATTGACTTCTCACTTGGCACTATCCACCTTCTTCCTCGCATCCCTCCTTGGCACCATGCCTGGCTAGCTGGCCTAAAGTCGGGGACCGCAGGCCTCTGGAATAGACAGTGCACCTGTGTCTGGGCACAGCTCCTAAATGAAGGTCCTGGACACTCACCTGGACTCACTCACTCACTCACTCACTCGGTAAGCAGCCCTCATGCCCACCAACTAGCCCATTCCCAGGCCCCTCTGCTTACAGCCCGCCAGGCCTTCAGGCTCTCCTCCCGCAGGAGCCATGGCATCCAGGGCCAGGCCAGGGCACACGTGCCCTACAAGGGACTCACACCACTTGCCCCACACACAGGCCCCTCCCTACACGCCGTCTCTGCCTCACCCCAGATTCCCTTTCCCAGGCGGGCCCGACCCTTCAATTTAGCAAACCAACTAAATAAACGGAAGCCAGGAATGGCCAAACCCTCTGCTCCCAATATGTGGCGCCCCTCCACCCCGTTCTCCCCAAGTCCTGGCGCTCCTTTGTGTCCACTCCGCTCTCTCCTTTCTCTTCCACCTGCTCCCACCTGCTTTCTCAGTGCTCCCGGTCCCAGCCTCCCAAGTGTCACCATCCCAGGTCCTCCCCCACCCCCCCACGGTGCGCGGAGCTTAGCGAGCCCTGCCTTTCTCACCTACGGCCAGGGTCGCCGCTGCACCACCACCACCAAGCCCCGCGGGTCAGCAGGCGCATGCGCGAGCCGGTCCCCACGACTCCATGACAACCCGGTTTTATGCGCCGGGTCTCCGGCTTGTCCCGCAGGCCTCCCGCCCATTTCTCCTCCCCCTCGCCTCCGCGGACGCCTCCTCCGGTCACGTGACCCGGCTCGGCGGGAACCAGCACCACGGAGACTGCGCGGCGGCGCCGTGCTCCTAGAAGGGCGCTCGGAGGACCGCCCTTCCCCTCCTCCTCCCGCCCCGCCCCGACTTCCTCTGTCTTGGCTGGAGGACTGCGGGGAAAGCGTCGCTCTCTCCACAGCGGTGCTCCTCTCTGTGGTCGGCTCCGCCTCAGGCTCCGCCGCCATCTTGTCGCGTGATTGTGCTGAGGGCGAGCGCTTGTGACTGGGTTTCGAAGGCCGCGCGCGGGTAGCGGCTTCAGGAGTCGGGGTTCGTCTGGGGGACTGGGGGAGCTGCCCTCGGGGCGTGTCCCGTCGACGCCGTCACGGGTGGGGAACCGGAAGTGGACGCGCCGGGCCTGTGGCGGCTGCGGCACCCAGCGTGGGAGGCAGCCGGGCGCGGCGTCCCCGCGACGCGCTCACGTGTCTGCCACGCCTGTCGCCCGGCTTGCTTTCCCGTCAACCCTCCAGACGGCGGACGAGGACGGACGGGAAGCAGGGAGTGTCCTAGTGCGGTGATCTCGAGCCGGCTGACGCTCGGCTCGCTTTGCCCCGTGCGTGCGGTGGGAGGGTCAGGCTGTATTGACGATGCTCCCCCCGTCTGTCCTGCCCGCCCGGCCCTGGGAAAGGGAAGCACAAACCCCCAGCATAACCCCTAAGAGGGGTGGTGCCTCACAACCAACAGACAGCAAGCTTGGGCTGACAGTTGGAAGCCCCGCACTCCAGTTAAGAGCGGTTCAAACAAAATGAGGATATTGCGGCTACAGGCGGCGTTAGAATCGCCCAGGGACCGCGTGCAGCCGATGGCTACTTTGTTGTTAGGCAGCGAAGATCATCGCATGTTCTTGGCACTTGCAAATAGTGCCAAACTGGACGTGTGGATCTAGGTGGCCAATGGTCCCTGCGTTGGTAATCCAAGCGGCTTAAAAGGTCATAGTTAGTCACACCATTCATCCAGACGCAGATAATACTAATTTGTTAGTAGGAATGTACTTATTAGCACGAGCCCTCCCAACAAGTAATAGTTGAACGCCTACCCCGTGTAAGGCTGTTGTTGTTTGGGAAAGCAAACAGTGGCTAACCGTTATCCAAGTCATTAAGAGCCTGTAGTTTCACATGTATTTTCTCAGGACACCTCAACAACTGTATGGCGTAGGTGCTGTTGTCCTTAGTTTATAAACTAGGGGAGTGAAGTTTGTGCCCATGACACAGCGGCAAAGCCTGAGCTTAACTAACATACTGCCCCTGACTAAAACGATCTTTGCCTGCAAACACCTTAAAGATTTAACAACATGAAACAAAATGGTCTAATAACCAACATGAAAGAATGTAAGTGCCAGAAAAAGTGAACAAATCAACAAAAGCAAGGGAGAAAAAAATTACTCAGCTTAAGTCATTGCTGAAAGAGGAAGAAACTAGGTAAAGCTTTAAGCACAGATAAAAGTGGGATAATGCATACAGGCAGAAATGAATAAATGAAATAAGCAGAACCATGAGGAATGGCTTTGTCTTGGACCTCAAAAGGGGAAAACAAGTCAAGATTTCCCTTGCATATTAGCAGACAGCCATTCTGTATTAACTACTTGATTTTCAAAATAAGATCAGTGGTATTTATGGATAGACATAATTTTATGATTATTTTACTCTATGATTCTGTATGAAGAAGTCCATGAAAGTAGATAATATTGTTAGGTAGCCAAGTCATTATTTTTTTTTTCCTTTATTGATTCCCCAGGGCTGTAAATTGGCCCCTATATGGATAGTTTCCTGTGGCCTGGGGCCTTCAGTCATTGTGCTAAGACTCTTGGTTGGCTAAGGTCCTGTTAATGGAGAGTAGATTTTGAAGCATGATTCTTCTGGGTTTCAGGTCTTAGCAGTTTGAATCCTCTCTAGTACTCCTGGAGCTCAAGACTTATTTTGCCAACACCATTTCCAGCAGGGGGAGACATGCTACCTTAAATGCCGCACTAAAATTTTGGACAAGATTTCCACCTGTAAGCAGAGCTGAGTCAGAAACAGCAATTCTTTCCAATCTGCTTCAATAAATTATCACCTATTCGTATAGGAATTGGACTTTTTAGTCCCATGTAAGGTAGCATGAAGAGTTAGCTATGTATATATGTGTTTGAGATATTATGTGTGTGTGTGTGTGTGTGTGTGTGTGTGTGTCCTTATTTTTATTTATTTGTAGGTCAGGTCTCTCTATGTAGCTCTGGGTGGCCTGGTACTCACTTTGTAACCCAGGCTGACCTCGCCTTAAACTTGCAGTGGTTCTCCTGCCTCTGCCTCCTGAATGCTGGTATACCTGGTATACTTCCAAATACTTATAAATAATAATGATTTTTGTCCAGGCTTGTTGGTACATTTCTGTAACCCTTGCTACTCGAGAGGCTGAGGCAGAAGGATGACTTGAGCCCAGGTGTTAAAAGCTACTCTAAAGATGGGGGCTGGGGAAAGATCCCAATGCTAAATAAATAAATGATAAATAAACTTGAAGCTTAAATTACAGTTATTTTAAAATCATTTAAAAGATACTAGTGTAATGTGAATTGAGGAAAGCATCCAAAATATCTAGTTTCAAATCCCACCTTCTCTCAGTTCATTTTATAAAAGAAAGGGCATTTTGATATCTCATATACATAGGATAGGTATAATCTCACAATTTAAAAATTGGATGATTTCAAGATGGGCATGGTGGTTCATACCTTTAATCCCAGCACTTAGGAGACTGAGTTGGAAGCTAGCCTGGCCTACAGTACAAGTTCCAAGACGGCCAGGGCTACACAGAGAAACCATGCCAAAAAAAAAAAAAAAAAAACAGAGTAATGCAAAACTTTTCACATTCTGATTTCTCCAGTTGTACCAAGGACCAGTAAAAACACAAGGACTGGACTGGTTCCTGGACCAGCATTTGAGAGCCAATGGTTTCATTTTTCTGAACTTCCCTTGGCCATCTGTAGCATCCTCTAGTCTTAATTAGTACCTAGCATTATTGGTGCTGTCCAATTCTTAGAGTTTGCAAAGAGAATTTGATGGTGTGATGGGTACATGTGTGCACTAGAGGGTCAGAGTCATGCTGAGGGAAGAGGCAGCTCTCCAGCATGAACAGGCAAGACAGATCCATGATCTCACACAGACAGAGATATGTACAGGTCAGAAGTAGAAGGGTGCATGGCCTCTTTCCTCTCAGCAGCCAGGTTACTTCTTAACCTGCGCCCATAGTGGGAAGGTGGAAGAGCAGGGTCATGAGGAAGACAGTGTTTATAGACGGCCAGGATGCTAACATTCAGGCACAGTTTTGATTCTAGGGGCAGGAAATTCCTCCCAAACAGCTAGCTTACTTTCTCTCTCCTTGCTGGTACCTTAAAGCTCCTTTCACATTCAAATTCTCAGCCTTTAGTACATAGAACATTCAAGACCAACTTGAGCTTCATGAGACCCTGCAGAGAGAAACAAAGGGAAATGAGAATGGGTGAAGGGTATCCCTCCAGACTGTTCCACACTTGTAATTCTGGAAAAGAAACACCAAACACCACTATTCTTGTCTCTCTGAATCATTTATGGGGGGTTTTCTGTTATGTTTATTTGTTCAAGAATGCCCTTGAGGAGCTAGAGAGATGGCCCTGAGATTAAAAGCATTGGCTGCTCCTTCCACTGGTACAATTCCCAGTGCCCATATGTCAACTCACAAACAGCTGTAACTCCAGAACCAGGGGATCTGATGCCATCTTCTGGCCTCCACAGATACTGCATGCCCACAGTGCTCAGACACGCATGCAGGCAAAACACACGCATAAACATTGGTTTGTTTTTTTTTTTATCTTTGAAAAAAAAATGCCTCCTTAAATTTTATTTAGCTTTTCAGCTTCCACAAGGGGAGTGGATGTACTGATCCTGCGACCTTAGTCCAGGCCCTTTCAGATGCTGGCTGTGTCTTTGACATGGGAACCGAGTTGGTTTCAGCATGTGTCTGCTTGATATTGGTGGTGGTTTTCCTAGACCTGAGGATACAAATCTTAAATTTGAAGAGCTCACCAGTGTTATCAACCCAGAGGGACAAGTACCTCCCACCAGACTCTGGAGGGAGAGTTACAGCCGAGCCAGGCAGAGACTGTGTCGCCTCAGCTTTCACACTGGCAGTCAATGCCATTGCCAAAAAAAAAAAAAAAAAAAGATCGAATGGAAGGAGGCAGACAGGCGCAGACGATTAAGATGAGTCTAGTGAGCACACCTTCATGTATTACGTAAATGATGGAGTGTATGGGTCATTTAACTGGACCGTCACCCAGCAGCCTGTGCTTCTGCTAGTGCCAATGTGTAGATGCCATTCTTGTAGCGCCTACCCGAAAGTTTAGCTTGAATTAAGGGGTTTGGGGGAACCATCTAACTAAATTACTGCTAGTTTTGGAATGTCTTTTTAAGAGTAGGAGTTGGCACAGATGGATACAGATGCAGTATGGAAGACTAGGAGATGGGGCACACCTGTGTTCCTATGGAAACTTTGAATATTTGTTTTATATGGATTTTTATGGATTTTCAGACAGGATACTAACGTGTGCCCCTCAGCTGCTGAGCAAGCATTTGTAGCCTGTACATTTGGCAGAATGGGCCAAAAGCTAATGTTGTGACCCATTTTGAAAAATAAACTATCTTGAAATTAAAAAAAAAATATTTAGCCCAAGGCTGATGGTATTTGGAGTCTATGAAGAATGTCAGTAAAAAGGATATGT